GTCCTCCGGAGGACCCGGCCTGTCGTTTTGGACACAGCCTTTATGCTGACGAAGGAGGACCGTAAACTAACATGGCTGCAGCTTTAAATCTGAAAAACCCACCAAAGAGAGTTTGCTTGCTTTTTTCATTTTATCGACAAAAATTCCCAATGATATTCACTCCGATCCAGAGCTAAGGCTGGCTGCTGAAGGTGTCTCGACTGAACCACTGTGAGTCAGACAGCTTTCAGCAGTATCAACTAAAACATTGAATCTGTACCTGATGAGTTAAACTCTAAATGTTGTGTTTCCMCTGTTGCTATTTAATCGTACAGTTCTTTGCTTTTACTGAATGAAAGCCTATGGTGAATGGTGTTAGCATTAGCGCTAGCTACTGTTAGCCTGGTAGCATGTTATTATGCAACTAATCTTAACTTTAAAGAAATATTTTGCCTATGGTTAGTAGCCGCATGCTGGCAAAACTATATAAATGGCTTAATTTAACTGTTTCAGATCTGAGTTCACTCAGAATAATAAACAATCCTCTTCTCAACTACGTGCTAAAATATGTTGTTTACATCACGGCAGGAGGATTAAAAGACGAGCTTAGCAGTGCCCAGGGGCTATAAAAGTGTCCGGTTTGTTGAAATAAAAATATGCTAACAGAGTTATTAGAGGCAGTTTATTTATTTTTGTTTAACATTTATTTAAAATGACTGCAGCTGTATGAAACCCTCCAGTTCATCTCTAAAAGTTACTAGCAAACTAGCATCCAGTGAATTTTATGTTTAGAATAAGGGGGAGAAACCGTCTATTCACAATACTTCTATAAAATTAATACAATTATGAGGGATTTATGAACATTTTACTTCCAGAATGGTTGACATTTATGATTTTGCATGTGTCTGTCTTCGGGGAAAGAYGAGGTAGMTGATATCAGTAGTAGCTATTAGCTAACATCAGGACATAACTTCATCAGTCTGTGAGCAGTGACGGCTGAGCCACTGATAAAGAATCATCCTCGCCACTTTTTAAAACATCCTTACAGTACATACACCTCCGATATGTGGCCATCTACGCCAAATTTAAATTAAAAATGCTTTGATAAACAGCGAAGGTCTATGCCCCTAATTGTAAACAACACTGCAACCGGAAAAAGAGAACAGTGCKTCTGCTATGAATTATGGGTAGTGGCGYGAAATCAGGAATACTGTGGATAGAAATCCAGACTAGCCGTTAACTCGTCAGTCTAATCAGGATGACATGAATCGCTCAAATTTTAGCCATTTTTTTATGTTTTCTAAGTTGAGTTGACGGTACGGACTATTATGAATTGGGTTAAGTCCAAACGTTACTGAGTTATCACAAACAAAAAACTTTTGGTGATAATAACATTTTCCTCTGATGAGTTTTGTCTTTTTAATAACTAATAATTGTGTAATTCATGAGTTTTCAACAGAATCCCACATTCAAAGATCTGAATTATTCCTTTAAAGCAGCATGTTAAAGAGAATCACACAAATATATGATAAAGTACACAAAAGATGTTTAGTTGGGAGTATACTCACGGAGGAAATGTTTCTCCAATAAGGCGATTTCCAGGTGACCTTTGACCTCACTGAGTCGTTCCGACTCCGACCTCTGGAAGTCCTGAATGGCCGCTGCCATCGTGGGAGACCCCGAGCCAGCCTGAGCACAAACGCAAACATTTACTCACAAAAAATACAAATCAACAAACACTAGAGGAGAAGTTTCACAATTCCAAACACAATCAAATCCAAGTGAACACAAGCATGATCCAAGACACAGAAGATCCCGGTGCAGTGACTCACACTGATGTTTGGATCCAGCAGGAGCGAGGGAGGAGGAGGAGGAGGAGGAAGACTAACAGGAGAATCCCCCTCTTCTGACTACAATAATGACTCAAACGCCCCGAACGGTTTTCAGCCTCGACGCAGACGAGCAGCAGAAAGCCGGACGAGCTGAACGACTGGAGCGAGCGACGTGGGTGAGAGGAAGCTGAGAGGGTGACGCAGGGGGGGAGACGAGACGAGCACTGCAGGTTGAGCATCGCTACTCGACTACAGCGGGGGTCCTTTAAGAGACTTCTGCCAAACACACACACACTCACTCACTGCAGCAGCAGCTTATTCTCKACAACAACCTGCGCTGCAGCGTCTCAAACCGACGCGCCTCTGCTGAAGACAGACGCAGGAGGACCACAGAACCGACAGTGACCTGAAAATCAAACGAGGAGCCGGCGAGAGGGACGGCTCAGGAGACTTTAAGATAAAAATATGGAGCTGGGAGGAGAGGGAGGTGGGAGGGAGGCTCTGCTGCATTGTGGGTTGCACCTYTCAGTCCCTGGGACGAGAAAACGTGTTGATAACTAAACACACCTGCAGGCTGTTTGATGCCCTCTGAGGACTCTGGTCACATAAGTAGGTCGACCTCMGACGTCACGCTGAATGATTATCAGCTGGTTAATTATTCAGACGCCCCCTCCTTTTTATTCTTCCTTATCCTTCAGCAGGACAACCTGCTTTTCTAACCCAGACATGTTCCAGAAGAGAAGTGAAGCAAAACCAGTGAAAACTATTACAAATAAAGCATTAAAATATCTATTTTATCAGTTTTTCTTTGCATTTTTGTATCTGCATGCATAAAATCAGCTGAGTACATTTGGTTCATGCAGCTCTACTATATTTAGAAACGCATCTTAAATATTCACCATTTAACAGCAGTAAAAGAGCCTCTTTTGCTGACGGTTTCATTTTATTTCACTCTTCTGCTCAATGTGCAAACTAGATGCAGGTTTACTTTTATATCCACCTGCCCTGAATTATTAAAAGCTCGTGTTTTCCACAGTTTTGTTCAGTTTTAACATCTTCCACACATTATTATTTGTCAGTGTCTCAGTGTGGAAGAGCTTGTATGAAAAGGACCGGACCACTTCAGGTCACCACACAGCCTCTCAGCTTCAGGGAGCCACTTCCTGTTCTGGGTACAGGTGTGATTTTTCTCTTTGAACAAACACACATGGTTGGCCTCGGTGCACAGGTAACAATTAACTGGGCTCAGGGACCTGACGTGTTCAATACATCCTCTGTGACCAGGTGTGCATTTCCAGCCTGTCCCTCCAGAGAAACGCTGACAGAATCACAACAAGGTGAGGATTTCAGAGGCTTCTCACATATTTATAAAGCCCTGATGTTAGGGCTGCATGATATAAAATACAAGCAAAAAGGCAGTATTCTACATACATGTGTGTTTTTGTCATGTTTGTAAAATATCTAAAACCAGCAGACAAATTTTAATAAAACTCTCAAATTAATGGACAACTGATTAACCTGATTCAAGATGGCTGCCACAGCTAGTCAAACAAAAACAACTACAACTCAGGTAAATTTACAGATATTGATATAAAATTTTATATGGTAGTAGCTGAGTGTCATACCCAGAATATAAGCCAATCGACAAATTGATTGTAGATGGAATTATGTTTAAGATTTAACAATTTTTGCACAAAACGTAAGCATTAAAGTGCCTGTGRCATCATTGTTTGTGATAAATGTGAATGCACTTCTGGAAAGATGTTGATAACATGTTGCAAAAGCAATTTCACACCACTGAGATGAACAGTTGTTGAGATGTTTGCATGTGAAGTAACAGGAAGTGATGTTAAACGGGAATGTCTGCATGTAATCAMGGATAGGCATGTCACAGACACTTTAAAGGTAGCAGCTAATAATTTATCAATCTTTAATTCCTTCAGTCACTGTGATGCTCACWGAACTTTCCAAAGTTTTCAGCATCTCCATCACCACCATTAGGGCAGTAAAGGGCGGCAAATTTATTACTGGCATGCAGATCATAAATACATGACAAGTGGAATGAACTATAATGTAATTTATTGCAGTTTTGTTTGCAATACTGACATCATACTAGCTGCGTTTCCACTGACCATGAAAATGCGTGAATTAGAATTTCGAAAATAAATTTGCTCAATGGAAACACGTCTATTTAGAAAAAAATTACGTTTTTTGACAAAAAGTTTTTGCGCTAGGATGAGGTGGTTTTTCGGCCGTATCGAAACTGGTGTTTTTTGCAAAACTGCAATGGAAACACTTTGTCCGCATCACAGGAGTCACGTGATCAACAACCGGCTGTTTCTACTGGTGAAAAAGACGATGAAGAAGATAACAGGAAGTAGAAATAGTAGTAATATCACAGAAGTAGTATAAAATAGTAAACTCACCGACTACAATTTCCCAAAAACACAGCATACGTAGYCGCTCCCAAGTAGGGACTTGTCTCTGGAAAGCCTCGATAAAACACGCCGACGTCTCCTCTGATGATGAGCGCTAGTGTGGTAGCAACATGCTATGTGTTTACATCCATCGCCGCCATGTTTGTAATGACTTATCATGAGAACAAACGTAGGCTGTGTCCAAAACGGCAGGACGGGTCCTCCGAAGGTCGAATTTGTCGGCCGCATACGTCACAGCGCCGCGACGAAGGACGTCCAAAACCGAAGACTCCTCCGATGCGTCCGACAAATACGTCCTTCTTTTTCCCCGAATCGAAGGACAGGTCTGATGGATCCTTCCCGGCCCAGCATATCCCATAATGCATTGCGGCCCGACTGGAGATTTTTTTAAGCTAGTAATGGTGGACGAAGCGAGAGAAAAGAATACATTTTAAATAAAAATATGGTGATTTAAAAATTAAAAAAAATTAGCGGTTGTAATTCTAATACTTTTATCATTTGTATRGACATGTTTTTACATATTATTTTTCGTCATAAAAAACGCGAAATAAACATGAACCTACAGCGGGTCAATTAGTTCTTCTAATGTTACCTTTAAGTTAATTTTATAGTTTTGTGATATTAATAATGCTAATGTATTGATATTTTTCTAGTTTTGATTGGAGTTTGCTTGTTTAGCGTCGTCACAGTTGCTAGGTGACAAGACGTACGCCGGGGTAAGGAGGGGAGGCTAGACCGTCCAAATCCACAGCCTCTTTTTTCCGGTCTTCCCGGTCTACCAAGGACCCGGCCCGCCGAGACCGGGGAGTCTGGGTCCTCCGGAGGACCCGGCCTGTCGTTTTGGACACACCCGTATTCACGTGTGACTTTAACAGCATTTCTTACTTAATGGAAACACCGCAGCTGCGAAACTGTGTTTTTTCGACATTAACAGAATATCGACAAAGTTTTGTGCACATTTGCGATGAAAATGCAGCTACTGATGCTGMTTTTTATTACAGTAAATCTACATTAGTACATCTTTAACAAAAGAACAGTAGATGTAATGGAGGAGAAGGTGAGATGATGTAATGTCCACTGACTGACCACCATCAGCCCAATGACATTCTGCTCATATATTATGGATGAAAAGAGATTTTGTCATAAATATAAGGGCAGCCCACAGTGACCGGCTTCTCTCTTCTCAGCAAGGTTTTAAATAAAGGTCATGTGATCTGATCCTGAAGGGTACAAAGACCTGGTGGGCTTTGAAAACCAACAACAGGAGCTTTAACACACAGACAGCAAAGGCATCTTCTGCGTGTTTGCTGTGTTTGTGTGTCTGTGTGTGTGTGTGTGTGTGTGTTAAAGCAGAAATAAGAGCTAACGTCTTCTATTTTAGGGCTTCTAAGCGTGACTCATCATTGCTGGGATGTGGGCGATCCCTTCCTGGTGGGCTGCAGCTCAAGCAGGCAAAAACCGCATGAGACCCGACTCAGATACCAGCTTCATCTGTGATGTTCACTGATCAGGACCGGAGCCACTTTCACAGTAATACAGAAAAATACACAATAAACGGTTTGATGAACAATCTGTTTGAAACGAGGAAAAAAAAAAAGGAGTCCACTGGGCTTTCATGCAGGAAATGATGAAATCTCTTTCRAAGCGTTTGTTTGGTCCTGTCTGTGTGCGACCGTCAGGATGACGATAACACTCGTGTTTTTAGAGTAACGAGCGAGGACACTTCCTTCCTTTGTGGATACTAGAAGGGAGGACACCTCAGYGTTCAGTCCTCCTCCTTTAATCTCCTCTCCTCCTTCATTTTTCATCCCCTTCCTGCAATCTAGTTCCCTCTCATCCCTCTGCTCTCACCACTTCCTCTCTGTCAGCTGCTGATTGTCTCCTCGGTGTCACGTTGCTCATAAATCCTGACCACAATCATCTGCCTTTTTCCCTCCATCTAAACGAGACCTCTCTGCGTGGAGCTCGTTTCCTCCTCAGTTAGGGAAGAGAGAAGTGGGCTTTAAAACAGCAACATCATGCTGTTTTTATCGCTCCTTCATTAGGTTATTGAAGAACATCAGAGAGGTCAAACAGCGGCTAAAACAAGCTTCCCTCCCGTTTGTTTATTTATTTTGCGGACAGGAAATGATGTAATGCTAAGATAAGGCGATCTTCCTCTGCGACCACTCAACTGTAAGCCCAGAAAAGATGTCACTAAGCACTTACGGGGTCTCGCAGGACCTCCTCCGTGTCTCGCACAGCAGACCTGGGCTTCAGCTGCACGTCGTCGTTACATTCGCTGTCAGAGGCCGGCGGAGACTCGCCCAGGTCCGGGAACTCGTCTCTCGTCCTGGGGCCTCGGAAGCGGATCTTGTCCAGGCGCTTCAGCATGGTCAACGCCGCGCTCCTCGGCTTTACCTTAACATGGCGGACGGCAACCCTGTGACAAAAAGAGGCGGGGGCCTGTGGTTACTGGGGGGGCAACATGCTTCCAGCCTCACCACCTTAATAACCTCCATCGCTGCTTTAATTTTTATTTTTTTATACTTCTCAACTACAAACACTCGACTCAAAGATGGATCTGGTCTGACGAGCGTCTTTTAACAAAGATGTGAAATATTATAACAGGTGGATCAAAGAAACTTATTGGCTCAAATAAAAAAAATTATTTCACCCACATGTGAACAAGTTCAGATGTGAATGGAAAGTTTTTAATTCGTCCCTCAGGGTGAGTGGTAACAATGTGAGTGGCAGGTTAATAAACACTTTCCTCCAGCTGTAAAGACACCTGTCAAAATAAAAGCTGTTCCCACGATAACGACATGAATCCAGTCAGAGCGGCTCAGGCACCAACCCAAACCAGCACTTTACGCTACATGTTTGGACTTTCTTTTTTCAGTAATTTAATCCATTTATTTATCAAAATGTTCAGATTTTTCACAATATTACAGCTTTGACTTTTGGTATTTGCAACTCTTGTTAGTATTTTTGCATTTTACTTTATTTACAATAGGAATGAGATCTTTTGAATAATCTTTGTACTCTTTCATATCAGCACTTACYGTTTAGTTTTTAGATACATTCTGCTAGTTTTTGCTTCCAACTTGCATTCATTTTATTTTTTTAGCTAATGTCCTGCTGTTTTTCCCTTACAGTTAGAGCTGGCCCMAAAAAKAAATCYGATGTTTTTCATCCCAAATTCGATTTTTAACCAATTTTGTTTCCCACTTAACAGAGTGCCTGTTTCAGGYRTTGAAACAAATTTGTTGTTCTCCTGCTTTTTGTAGCAAGAGCCTCCAAACAGTTTTTGCAGTGAGGTGATTGTTGCTCCAAGTCTGAGGTTGCAAAACCTAACCAGTTCCAGAAAACTGAAGAAACAGTGCCTTTTCTTAAGAAGTACACCCTCTTTGGCAGCTGCCATTTTGTCATGTTGTGTACCAAGTAGGGCTGCCACAAACAATTATTTTAATAATCGATTAATCACCGATTATTTTTTCGATTAGTCGACTAATCGGATCATWCGTTAATTGAATATAAAACATACAGCTTATAACGTCAGAATGCAGCTGCTATTATATAACCATGGTTAGATTTTAGCTATATGCTAACTAAAAATAATTGCTGTGAAGACAAGTTCTGCTCTGCAGATATTACACAGGTTTCTCTTTCATTTTCTTAAAATGATCCCACACTTTGAGCTCTGTTGTCAGGTAGCCATGATACCAGAGCCTGTCTGTATAATGTCTTGTGACGTCCACGGCCTACCCCAGTTACCACTACGCCTGTCACGATAACAAATTTTGCTGGGCGATTAATTGTCTCAAAATTTATTGCGATAAACGATAATAT